AGGCGTGCGACCTAACCGAAGCAAGGCCGCCACCTTCCGCGAGGTCCGGCGCGTAGGGGTTCCGCGCCATATTGCCCAGGGCAGGGTAGCGTTCCAAGGCCTTCGAGATGGCCGCGAGCGACTGCGTTTCGACCGCCCGCACGAACGACATTGCGGCGCCAAGCTGGTCTTCCGTAGACTCAGCCTTGCCCCAGGAATGCTCCTGCCCCATCGTCCTCGAGACCTCCTGGATGGCCTGCTTCAGCAAGGCGAGCTCGTGAAAGGAGTCACTGGGCAGCTGGTGGCCCTGCAGCTCCAAGAATCTCGCCGAGACCCGAGGGGCCCAGCCCGGACGTGAGATCGTGCTTGTCGGAATTGGCCGCGATTCGGAGGACCTGGACGTCGGCGTGCGGCGCCCCATAAAGACTCGGCGGTGGTTGGAGAGCTCGAAGACCCAGTCTCCAACCCCGACGAAGATCTCCCTGTCAAGCAGGTCCGCCCCCTCGAAGTTGGCGTAAAAACGGTCGAGGCGAGAGCGTGCCTGAGCGGAGCTATGAGTCATCGCCCGCTGGTGTAGCTCAGCATTGCCAGGGAGCATGCCGATCCAGTGGAGTTCTTCGGAACGGTCCCGATGCCCTGTGTAGGCACCGTCCCCGCAGGACACCCGGTCCTCCGGGGCTGCCACCCAGTTGAAATCGCCCCCAATGAGGGAGAGAGAGGCTCCTGCAGGCCGAAGGGCGCGGGCGACCTCCACCCGGAGAAGGCGGCGCTGTGCAGCAGGGCGAAGCGCAGCTTGATGCTCGGGGGCGCTGGCCGCGTGGAAGATGTCGCCGTTGGTGCCCGTGGGGAAGTACACTAGGACCAAGTCTAGGGAGCCCAAGGGCCCGTCCAGACGCAGGGCTCCAGCGCGACCGCGATGAAGGGGAATCCAGCGGCGCCGAGGGAACTTGTCCAAGAAGCCGTCGGCGACCACAATCCCGACCCCGCCCCGATGAGAGGTCCCTGGCGACCACCAGGCCTGAGCGCCACGTGGGGGCTCGGCCAAGGCGAGGCTGTCCGTCGTGCCGTGGGTCTCCGTGAGCAGCACGATGTCATGCTGCTTGAGGAGCTGGCCAAGGTGGCGCCACTTCTGCCCATGCCTGACGACATTCGCAGCGAAGAGGTATTCCACGCGGCTACCTTGAAGTCGCCCCGATAGGGGTGGCAGGGGAAGGACGTATCCGCCAGCACCGGTGGCACCACAGCAGCGCGCGGGGCGCCGCAACCAGTTTGCGTGAACGTTGACGGCAAAGTGCCCAACGCTCGGCGAATACGACCGCGCTGGAGGACCTGCACAGGCGTGTCGTTGTCGATGCGCGCGAGGATTGCAAACTCGTCCCTGGAGGGGGGCAGGAGAAGAGGAGGGAGAGCAACGCGGCAATGGGCATCATCGCCAGTAGCAGGAAGATCAGCAGGCCGAAGCAAATTATCTCCCACACCAGCCGAAGCCGCAAGGCCCGTGGAAGCAGAGGCGTCCAGGAGCGTCACGACGACGTCAATGAGGAAGGACATGCACCCTGAGCTGCTGAGGGCCCAGGCCAACGGGGGTTGGTCGACACCTAGTCAATGCCTGCGCCCCTGCGCCGACGTAGCGTCAATCAAATCATTGAAGACCTGCACGGTGAACGTGTCACACCCGACGCTCACTGTCCTGTTGTGGAGAGCCGCCCGGACCTGCGCCACCTCCGCCTCGCTGGACAGAAAAAGGCGAGAGCGCCCGGGGGGGGCGCGAGGGTCGCGTCCCGCCAGCCAGCGCCAGGTGCCCGGCCCGCATTCCTGAAGGCCCCCCTCCCGGAGAGCGATGCCGGCCTGCGAGCTCAGGTGCTCCATCAGCCGAGTGACGACCTCTTTCTCGTCTGCCTTGAGGGCCCCCCGTATCTCTACATCCGTCACGGTCTGGAGAGCCAGTGGCCGCCCGCGCGTCCGCTGGGAGCGACGCGTGGCAGCAAGTTGGCCAGCAGTCTCCGAGGGTGCTGCGAAGGGCCGACCACCGTGGCGAGAGGGGCGCCACTTGACCAGGTAGAGGGCCCCTTCTGGGTCGTCCTTGAGGGCCTGGTTCATGACGGCCGCCCAAGTGCACTCCACCGCATCGCTGAGCGCGAGGATGCGTTCGTCCGAAAGGAAAAGGAGGCCGGAGCACAGGGGCCAGGCCCGAGGGGCCGCACTGGGGTGCCCGATCTCCACCAGCAGCGTGGAGGGGTCGGCGAACATGGTCTGGGAGCCGTAAACCGTACCAGCTGGGAGGAGAGGGCGGAGCTGCCGGAACTTGAGTTCCTGATCCAGGAGGCTGGTGCCGATCTCAAAACGGACATCCACCACAGCGCGGGGCTGCCGGTCTGAGAAGCCCGTGCTGCGGCGCACTTGCCCGACCGACATGCCGGTCGCCAAGTTGGCCCGCAGGAGGTTCAGAACCTGGTGGGTGGCCTCAGCGTGGAAGTCGACCAGGAAGGTGGGCTGCATGGCGAGGGAGAAAAGGGGGAGGTCGGCCTTGATCACCCGTGGCGCTCGTCGCGGAAGCGACGCCGATATCGTGAACACGGCGAGGGCGCGCAGATCCTGCCGTGGGCCAAGCCTGCCAGGGGTGATGATCTCAAAGGGCTGCGGGTAGACATCGACGCCCCGAACGACCGAGGCCCACCGTTCGATGAGCAACGGGTGGTGCCAGAGGTCGCGGATGCTCTCGAAGGTGTCGCAGCCAGAGAAGACCTGGAGCGGGGCGATCAGCTTGAAGAAGGGTGGCATGCCGTAGACCCCACAATCCTTCAGGAAGGAATGCATCAACCGACCGAGGGCAGAGGCGTCCGCGGGCGCCCAGAGCACCAGCGGCCTGCCCGCCATGCGCTCCCACAGCATCCCGTGGCCCTTCTCGGCGAGCTCCGCGATCGCACGAGCCTCTGCCGGAGGGAGGGCGGCCGAGAACTGCATCTCAGGCGTGTCCAATGCGCCTGTGAGGCTGGACCACTGAGTGGCTGGCCGCTCGGCAGGGTCGTCGCGGTGTCCGAGCAGAGCCAGCAGTGCCTCCCGACCCAGCTCCTTCCAGAGCGGCAGCTTGCTGGGCTTGTGCCGGCGGCGGGCAGCGCGCCAAGCGTCGAAGCTCATGGTGCATGAGTCGGCCGCCTCGGAGAGGAGGGCGATGATGCGTTGGCCTGCTGCGCGGTCGGCTGCTGGCCAAGCCGCCTTGTCAAGGCCCGAGCCGAGCAGGAGCGCGAACCGCCGCCTCGACTCGATGATCCCCAGCGTGACGTCCGGGCCCTCGAGTGGGGCGAGCCCCAGGCGGGACCAGCAGTCGTCGGAGAAGGGGTGGTAGGCCAAGGACTGGAGGACAGCCTTAAAGTCTGCGAGGGAATCGATGGACCTCGGCACGACCGAGGGGCCGTGGACCGCCACGTGCGCACGCACCACGTCGAAGTGCTTCAAGGCCTCCTGTTCGATGAGCTCGACGAACGGGGATGTCGTCGAAGCAAGACCGGGAGGCGGGATCATGGCGACCCCCTGCGCCGCCGCTGGGGCGTTCATCTGCAAGGCTGCCATGCCCTGCGTGGCTCCCGAATTCTCGGGGTCCGTGTCCATGCAGTCGAGGCTGTTGATGTCCTCTGCCTGCATGGCTGCCATCGTGGCAGGTCGACGGTAGTTGGGAAACGGAGTGTGAGTAAGTCGGGAGAGTAGAAAGGCGACGGCCCACCCTTGGCAGGGCTCCAGGTCGGGTTGTCGCAGCTTTGAGCCCTAAACCCCTGGCCCTGACCAGAGGCGCAGTGTTACTTGAGCCAACCCGCGACTTCCCCACTGAGTATGGCATTGATGTTTGGAACCTTCCAGCAGCTACAAGGATGGAGGGGGGGTCGGTCTCAAAGGTGGCGCTACAGATCACCAGATGGAAGGCAGGCCGCTTTCAGGATGTGGCTCTCGCCTCAGAGCCACGCGCATTCGCCACAAAAGTGCGCAACCATTTTACTGATGGAAAGCGGCCCGTTTGATAAACTGTCCCCGCTAGACACTTCATCCGATCGGAAGCCCAAGCATAGGCAGCAGCTACACGGGAGGGCGGCCGCCATTTTTCACGATAGGACTCTCGTGTGGGGCATCCCCACGACTGACGACAGTCAATGCAACATTGTGCAACACGGATGGCGGGCGATTCCCCTCGTCCTCCTTTCGAAAGTGAAGACTGTGCAGCATCCGCGTACATTGCTGGAGGGCGACACGTTCATTCAAAATAAGGCGATCCATGAAAATGATGGTCCCACCTCTTCTTGCCGTCGCTCGGACGTCCGTTCCCCGTGCACGTTGCGGTCTCATGCGTGGTTTTTGTTGACTCGATCATCCAGGATGCTCCTCGCAGGTCCTCGCCGAGAAAGAATGCACACTTCCGAGCGCTCCCAGTTCTTTGCGTGAGCTTCAGCTGGAAAGATGGAGGGCGGATCCGGTTCAAAACAAGGACTCTGGACTGCATATCAGGAGGAGGAGGAGGAGGAGGAGGAGAAGCAGGAGGAGGAGGAGGAGTGGTGTATTGCAGCATCGGTGATCCATCCTGGATCTCCTCCCCCTCCTCCCGAGGAACGACCCCCAGGCCTCTCCAGGGGCAAGGTCTGACCAAGAATTCGGGGGGGAAGCCAGCCGTGGCAACGAGATCGCCCCAGGAGGCCCCAAAGAAGGTTGGACAAACTCTTTAAAAATGTGACCCTCGAACCTCGCATCTCGATCTTTCTCCTCCTCCTCGTCTTTTTCCTCCTCCTCCTCCTCCTCCTCTTCCTCCTCCTCCTCCTCATCTTCTTCCTCCTCCTCCCACCTCGCTCCTCCTCCTCCTCCTCCTCGTCATCCTCCTTGTCCTCCTCCTCCTCCTCCTGCCCTCCTCCTCCTCTTCTTATTCTTCTCTCTCCTCCTCCTCCCCCTCCTCCTCCTCTCTTCCTCCTCTCCTCTTCCTCCTCTTATTATTCTTCTTCCTCCTCCTCCGCCTCTTCCTCCGCCTCCTCCTCCTCCAACGCCGAGTCCAGGAAGCTCACGAATGCGTAGCCCCGGTTCTGGCTGTGTCTGGGCGGCTTCGTGGGCAAGTACAGGAACTCGAAGGTGTTCCGAAACCCTGCCAGGACACGGCTGGACCGCCCCATGCCATGACGCCCGCGTCGTCTCCCCCCAATGGTGACAAGTCGAGGATTGGGTTTGGGAATGTCTTTGGACTCAAGGACCGAAGTTGTTTGGGAGCTGTTTGGTCCACGTCAGGGCTCCGAAAGCCTCCAAAGGACTCCGCGGACAGAGGACTCTGCGAGGACTACCTGTGGAGACGGCCCCCTAGGTCTGCTGGAGACCTGACGGCGTTAAAAAACGGCGGTGAACTGGGAAAGCTTGCGCCTACGCATGGCTTGGATACAAACGAGATGAACGCGAATTGGACCCGCGGCCCGTCAATAGATCAATCGTTGCCCGACTACTTCGGAGTTTGGGAAATAAGCCGGAAACTTGAAACGGAGGGCCCCCCCGCAGAGAAACCGGTTTCGGCTTCTGCGGGAACAAGTATGTACCGATACCGCTACTCCCCAGACCTCCCCAGGGGGACGTTCTGACCAAAATGTCGAGAAAAATCCAATCATTGCGACGATAACTCTCTAGGACGGCAGCGGCATCGGCATCGGCATCCTCTCTAGGACGAGCAGCTGTTCGTGCCGCGCTCGCGCGGGCACAGCGAGGCTGCGCGAAACCCTCTCATGGCAAAACGCACCCGCAATAAATGTCCCCCCCCCATGTGGGGGCGCAAGCGACCACAACCACATCGAGGGCGCAACATGGGGGATGCTTCGCGCATGCCAGCAATCGCCGAAACACCAAAACTCAGCTCTCACTGGTTTGCAGAGCGGACTCATCCAAAAACGCTTTCTTTCGCAAGGTCGCGCGGACCGCTGCCAACTAACCGCTTTCAAATGCGCGGGGAATGCTTCGCCTGGAAAGCCGCGGCCCAAATCCGCCGCACATCGGCCACGGCGCGTCGCCGACGATCCAAGAAACGAAGCCCGACGCTGCTTCTCGGCACTCCCCCATCGTTCCTCGCCCCCTCGTGTTCGCCTGGAAAGCCTCGAAAAGGCTCCAAGTAGTCTTATACACCCATCGATATATAACCTGTACTGTACATATACATATATATATATATATAGAGAGAGATGCGATAAGAATAAACATTGGTTCCTGGGGGGACCCCAAGGGCAGAAACTGGGGGGCGTTCTTGGGCCCCGGGGTGGCCTTCGGAGTTTTTGTTCGACCCGCTTACAGGGCGTCAAAGAGGGCGGCGCCGCGCGAGACGGCGCCGAGAAGGCCCGCGAAACCCGAAGACGGTTCCAGGATGGCCCGAAACATGATGGACCTATTAGTTGGGGCACTGTAGAAGCTCTTCCTCGAACCCCCTCCGTTGCCGCCCCCCCCCCTGCTCAGGGCCCTCCGAGGATCGCTTCGCCACTCTTCGCCCTCGCGCTTCACAATTGGCCCACCGGCGCCCACACTTCAATCCACTGCCCTCGGAGTCGTTTCCTGGCCTACTCCCTGCGTTTCCTCGCGCATGCTCGCCCTCCTCGTCCTCTTCCTCCTCCTCCTCCTCCTCCTCCTCCACCTCCTCTTCC